TATATAAATTCTTAAGGGTTGTGTTGAGGGTTGTTTACGTTACAGCTCTCGCCTTGTTACCTGGAGGGGGTGGGGGAGGTGTTTTCAAGTCACTCTGTAGGTGTGAGTAATTATGGCGCACCTTGTACCTGGTTTGAATGTGTTATGAGTATTGTTAGGCCAAGGTTAAGGAGGGAGACGATGGACAAACAAGTCGCTGGGATCATGAACGCCAGGACGATGGTTGCTAGGAAGTTGTTAACATTTCACTCTGCCAGCTGACTCACAAGATGGAGGGCGCCAGTATCTTAACCCCATCTTTTGGCTCTTAAGTTTATAGCGCGCCACAACACACTTGTTGTTAGTGCCTAGTTGTGGCCTCAGGACCCAGGGAACTGATCGGTTTGACCCCATTTCCTTATACTCCTGGGAGACCTTCCTTCCTCGTCTGACTGGTGTAGTGACTCGGGAAATGTTTTAGAGACTGTTCTTTATACATTGTCTCTTCATTCACTACCATAATATGTTTCCTGCTGTCATACACGGTGGCTGAGTGATTGCTGAGTCGTAGAAATGAACAGCTAGTAGGTGACCTTACTAGCAGGATACAGGAAGACCGAAGGCTTGATTACTTTCGGCAAAAAAAAACAACAACACCAAAGAGTGTAGCCATTGTTGAGTGTGAGAGGGTTAGTGTACACTGTGTAAGAGGAGGGACCCCACCACCCCACCCCGGACGGAAATCAATCCCAGGACCATTCGTATGCATGGTGAAGACTCGACCACTGAGCTACGGGGTCACTGCTTCCTCCTGTGTACAAATTACAACAGCTGGGGAAAAGAGGTGATGGGAAACACGTAGAGAGGGAGGGACATGGTGGAAGAAGAAGCCATGACAAAATTTGGATTGCATATAGTTGATTGATTGATTGATTGGTTGATTGATTGATTGGTTGATTGATTGATTGATTGATTGAGGCGACGCAGAAGCTTAAGAGGTCACATGTCGCCGATTTGGATTGAAAGTAAGATCTCAAGACTGAAGGTCAAATTACACGAAAGATCAACACTTGAGATCTTTCCTGTTTGCGACAATAATGGAAGTATTAAGGGAGGAGAAGGGAAGCTCCATGGGGGGGGGGGGAGGTGGGAGGGGTAAGGTTCGTTTTCCTGTAAGACTCCATCCTAACCTCACCTGTCCTGACATAAATAATACCTTTGGGATATAAATAAACTCTTGTGGTTATTTTAGGATGAGGGCGCCGCCTGTGATGACTGTGACTTGTAGCTCAAGTAACGAGAGGAGAAAAGGAAGATGTTATGTGTACGAGCAACACACACACACACACACACACACACACGCACGCAGGGATGAGGTGATAGGTCAGGGTGTAGAAGCATTGCATTTAAGTTTTTTTTTTCCATCACTTTATCACAATTTTTTCCTAACCTAACAACAATGATTTCAAGCCTAACCTAACGTAACCTTGCCATGTTTAACTTTAAGAGCTTTGTTAAAGTTTAGATTAGGTCATATCAGGTGTGGTCGTGTCGGGGCAGGTCAGTTCAGTTCAGTTAAAGGTCTGGATTGGTTGGGATAATCTGTTTTAATAATAATAATAATAATAATAATAATAATAATAATAATAATAATAGGAAAAAATATAAGCCGTGGTAGTCATAACAACATTGGTAATTATCCCATCGGTTTTAACCCATCGCGTTCGTGGATCTTCTCCAACATAAAAGTGGCCCTTGACACAGGTGGAGGTGTGATGTGCCGGGCACTTAGCGACGCCATTAGGAACCAAGTTTAATGGCCTTTACATACGAATGTGGTCATTATCGCCGGCGTGGGAGGGTCGTTAGCAGGTAGTTTGCTCAATAATAAAGTTCGGCCAGGTCTAACTGCTCAGGAAAGTCGTTATGAATACTTTTTATCCCGTTTTATTGTCACTTGTGTGTTTAGTTAGTTGGCTGGCTGGTTGGTTAGTCAATTAGCTAGTCAGTCAATTAGGTATGTAGTTAGTGAATTAGTGAGAGAGCAAGTTAACTAGTTAGCCAGCCAGCCAGCCAGTCAGTCAGTCAGTTAATTTAGATTGTCTTTTTATTGGTGATGTTATTCAGTTAAATCATCATGACAAGGTTAGGCTAGGTTGGGGTTCATGTTTTCCATCATACATTTTTATTTCCGTGTTGTGTTTCATTACATAGATAGATTGTTTATTCACCGCTGTCCATTGGCATTTTATTCCCAGTACAGCGGCCAATGAGTTAACGTTGGCTGCTCCTTTGTCGTGTTGTGACCTCTGCGTGTTGTTGTTGTTAGTGGTGGTAGTTGTAGTAGTTGTTGTTATAGTTGTAATAGTATCTAAATTATTATTATTATTATTATTTTATTATTGCTATTATTATTATTATTATTATTATTATTATTATTATTATTATTATTATTATTATTATTGTTGTTGTTGTTGTTGTTACTACATACAACACGGTGTTAGGGAACCAATTAAAACACCTGTACCTGTTCACTTGGTGTTCGTTGAGAGGTGCTAAAGCCATTGATTTATCCTCCCTTAGCCAGATGGGCGAGTAATAGAGAGTGGCAGTTCGTGGTGGTGGTAATTGTGCACTTGGCCCTAGTTAATAAAATATCCTTAGGGGTTAAGTGGCGGGGTGGATATAGTGCTGGGATGGCAAGCAAGTGGGAGCTGGGTTCGAATCTCAACAGAGAGAGAGAGAGAGAGAGAGAGAGAGGCGATGTCGATTATTGCGTAGTACTTCTTTTGTGGATCCTTAGCTCCCAGTGGATCCTCAGCTCCCAGTGGATCCTCAGCTCCCAGTGGATCCTCAGCTCCCAGTGGATCCTCAGCCCCTCTCAGCTCCCAGTGGATCCTCAGCTCCCAGTGGATCCTCAGCTCCCAGTGGATCCTCAGCTCCCAGTGGATCCTCAGCTCCCAGTGGACCCTCAGCTCCCAGTGGATCAATAACCGCCTCTGTCAAACTTTTACATGAATAATGAAAGTTAGTTGAAGGGTTATCGTCAGGTCACCATAGTTACCGCCCTCAGTTGATCAGTGTGGGTGGTGAGGGGTGGCGACCGTGACCTCCACCTTGTCACGTCTGAGGGGTGGCGACCATGGCCTCCACTTGTCACGTCTGAGGGGTGGCACCATGGCCCTCCACTCTGTCACGTCTGAGGGGGTGGCGACCGTGACCTCCACTTGTCACGTCTGGAGGGGTGGCGACCGTGACCTCCACTTGCTCATGCTCCTGAGGTGTGCGACCATGGCCTCCACTCTGTCACAAGTCTGCTGAGGGGTGGCGACCATGGCCCTCCACTTTGTTGTGCCTGAGGGGTGGCGACCATGGCCTCCACTTGTCACGTCTGAGGGGTGGCGACCGTGACCAATTTGTCACGTCTGAGGGGTGGCGACCATGGCCCTCCACTTGTCACGTCTGAGGGTTGGCGACCTTGACCCTCCACTCTTACTGTTTGTGACTGGCTGTCTTGACTAATCCTCCTAATCTAACCTGTTTTATCTTTCCTCTTTTCGGTATTCATTTTTAGTTTAAGGGTTTAATGTTTTTAAACCACTTCGTCGTCAATCTTTACAAAATTAAATATGTTGCCCAGTTTTTGTTTTAATGTCCCTTTATTATTACTCTCTCTCTCTCTCTCTCTCTCTCTCTCTCTCTCTCAGACTGGACTTAATCATACACTGTGGGTAATAGAACACGGCCTTAGTTAGTCGTGTGTTTTATGTGGCAGCTGAGACGCGGTGTGATGGCATGGTCGGTTGTCATGGTGACGGTGGTTTAGTTTACATGCTCACCACCAGGTTTCATAGTTCTTATCATGGCAGCTTGGGGTTTACGCTTAGTTCGTTTGTCGTATTTGTTTGTGATTTATTTATTTTGGTGAGACTTAATTTCTTGATTACCGTAGTTATTTATGGTTGTTGATTATTGTTATTTTTATTTTTTTTATTATTATTATTATTATTATTATTATTATTATTATTATTATTATTTGTGGTGGTAGTAGTAGTAGAAGTAGGGTGAGTGACATAACAGGTACTTGTCGAAAGGGGAGAGGAGTAAATAGAGAGAGAGAGAGAGAGAGAGAGAGAGAGTTGGAGGAGGGAGGGGGGAGGCGGTCTTGACGCAGGAAAGGGGTGTCACAGAGGGGAGGCTGCAGGTAACACACAGGCAATTAGGTGAATAATCGGAGCCTACTCACCCCTGTTACCTTGGCCTGGCCAACCACACCAACCCACCCTCCTCCTCCTCACTTGTCACCTATAGCGCCCTCCCTACCCCCTCACCTGTCACCTATAGCGCCCTCCCCTCACCTCACCTGTCACCTATAGCGTCACCTGTCACTATAGCGCCCCCTCCCTACCCCTCACCTGTCACCTATAGCGCTCTGCTTATTGACGGGTAATACAGGTGAAATTTGACCTAGTGACCTCTGCCCATTAAGTGACTTTGACCCATTGATATTACGGACATGGGGAAGAAGCAGTGTGTGTGTGTGTGTGTGTGTGTGTGTGTGTGTGACGCAATTACTGGTGGATATAAGCAAGAAGTATTTTAAATTTCTTCGGAATTATATGTTAAGTATTCCAGACAGCAAGCAATTAAACCATATTGCGTTAGGTTAGGTTATTGGGTTAGGTTAGGTTATTGGGTTAGGTTAGGTTAGGTTAGGTTCACGTCATCTTCCGTATACGTCTTAATAATGTATCAAAAGGCACCATAAATCAACAACACACTTTACCCTCTGTAAGTTTAATAGGATTTACCGTTCATGTTTATATCTTACGTCCGCCGTGTGTTTCTACACTAAGAAATAATGTGGACTAATATTGTGAAGAAAATACGAGAAATTATTAAAACACGTGAGAGAAAATTGCCCTTAGTCCTGTTGTACGGTATTGGTGGTGTTGTTAATGTATGTTATTTGTTCGTGATTTTATGTGTTGTGATTTTAGTGATAATTGTTCTTTACACAGAGTTAATGGTACTGGTATTTACGGTGAAGGCAACCATAGTGTGTTAGGTTTGACATTCATGAACAGTTAAGCATTTCAGCCAGGTTGTCCTCAGCACGGGACTGAAGATAATACTGTTAGGGTGACGTGGTATGTGGTGCTGGTCCCGGACTCTGTAACATTACTGTAGCTGTGGTGCTGCTCACAAGATGCTGGCCAGTAAACAACGCAGCATATCCTCCTCTGGCTCCTACAGTGAGCCAGATGAAGTCTTCTGCTGCGGCGGCGGCGACATGAAGGAGCTGTCGGGAGGGACCCTAGAGAGGCGGGCCATGCTGGTGCTGGCGGGGATGGTGGAAGGTGCCGTCGTGACCCCGCAGGGGCCCCGGGCCATGAGCTGTGTGGCCGCCTACCTGCAGGGGCTCAACTCCAGGCTCTTGACGGCTGTGGTGACGGCGGTGTTGGCCACTCGGCCGAGGTGGCTGCCATTAGAATACCACTGGGCACCGCTGGACCACGACCCGCTGCTGTACCTGCTGGAGCTGCTGGGGGAGCGCCTCACCGCCCTCACCTACACTTGTCATCCTCTCTCCCGTGAGCCTCTGCTACACGCCATCGCCGCCATGCCGGGCCTCACCACTCTCAACCTGCCCGAGGCCGCCGACGACAACGCCCTGGCGGTGGTTGGCGTCGCCTGCCACATCCTCGTCACCCTCTGTGTCCGGGGATCCAAGGCCGTCACTGACGATGGCGTTCGTCGGCTCCTCCTCCGCCGCCACACTTATACACGTTCACGTTGGCGACGCTTGTTCTCCCGTTGGCGTTCACTCCGTTCGTCACTCACCCGGCAGCAGGCGCGGTATAGGCCACTACCCGCGCCACTGAGTGACCACACACTGTTGATGCCCCTCGACCCCGAGCACCTCAACCCCTTGAGTGCCACTCTCACCCACCTGGACCTGGGCGGCACCAAGGTGAGCAACCAGGCTGCTGAGTGGGCCCGCAGCGTGCTGGTGCCTCACGCCTTCGTGGAGGCCTCACACTCCCAGCACCACTCTCTCCGCTCCCAGACCTCCCTCGAGGACCAGATGGCCAAGCTCCTGGCGCCACTCACGCCATAACCTCGCACCACCTGCCCGACCCAACCATCTGCCTGTAATAACGCTTCATCTCTTAGTAGTGGTGAACTCATCTTTAACCGAGCAACATCCAGCAGGCAGACGAGGTGTGTTGTGGTCACCTCCTCTGGGTCAACTGTAGTGTTATCATACCTTAAGGCTCACATAGTCATTATTTTTGTACTGCATCAGATAATACAACAAGCGATTCACATGATTTAAGTCGAAGTGCCATTCGACTGTGCCTTTAGAAAATATAACTAGAATATATTTTGTACGTGTAGGACTAAAGCGCTTTAACACAAGTAGTGGCATCTGGTAGACCGATCACCCTCAGTAGCCTCTGTTGGACTAGTAGCTCAGAGATACCCCGTCACCCTAAAGACTCTTATACTGTAAATAGCTGTTAAAAGATGTTACCTCGGCCATAATAGCAGCCCACTAGACGCCTGATGCTCAATACTGTACTACAAGTGTTGTGTTGTGTGACGTTGTACAGTGGGCACAGTTGTGATCCCTGGCAAGTGTGGTGACGACTGTTACTCTCCTCCTGCTGCTCCTGCCCAAGGTGAGTGTCCCGCTGTGTGTGTGCGTGCGTGTGTGAGTGGGGGGCAGTGTACGTGTGTGTTCGTGGACTTACCTGGTAACTGACGAGACTCAATTACATCAAGGTACTCCCTCTTTGAATCGCTATACTCGGCCACTGGAATATATTATAAACCAATCAAAGTAGAATTAGGGGACAGTATAGTACTTCCCGTAGTATACTTCCTCCCCAGAGTGGTAAGTACCCCTGGTGAAGACGAGGAGCCTAGATTGACGTCACGGATATTGATGTGTGTGTTAGGGTGGCGGGGGATGGGCTGTCTTTGGGGGGGGGGGGTGGGGGGACCTTCAAGAACCACTTAATCTTACCTGGGTGAAGGTCCTAAAGTGTACTGTATGTTATAATTACACTCTAGGGCTGTGGTTCTTAACCTTTTTTGAGTCACGGACCCCTTTGGGAATCTGGTGAAAGCTATGGACCCCCTCCCTAGAAAAATGTACATAAGCACAACTTTGCATGCAATGAATATACTTTATTTTTTTTAAAATTCATTGCCTCATACAGTGTATGACATACACAAAGTATGAATAAAGTAAACATTCTTAACAAATAATTATGTTTCACACTTTTTATGCAAAAATTAATGGCCACTCCATACAAAAATGAAATACAATGATCTTGTGCAAATTAAACAAAACAAAACTTTAATTCTGCTCAAAAGTTTATTTCAATGAGAAGGTGGTTGTTGTTTGGCTTGAATATAAATGTTAAATTTTTATCTGACCTTCACGGAGCCCCTGAAGCCCATCCATGGACCCCAGGTTAAGAACCCCTGCTCTAGGGTGTGTTGTTCAGCTGGTTATTGATTATTATTGTTGTTGTTGTTAATATCATTATTATTGTTATTGTTATTACTGTTATTATTATTATTATTGTTGTTGTTGTTGTTGTTGTTGTTGTTGTTGTTGTTGTTATCCTCACGGAACGACAAGAGAACTGTTCAGTATTTTAATAGTTTCTTTCTTATCTTCACTATTTCAGATGTTGTGGTCACTTGGTACAGTCACCCTTAACTCGCGAAGTTTATTTTCTTCATTGTCTTTATACATAGTAGATATACATCGGGGACTATGTTAAAGTTGGGCTTGTGTCAAATGATAAAAATTATCTATTAAATATTGCTCAAGTTGAATGTATGTATGTATGTATCTATATATGTATACTGTATATGTATATATGTATGTATGTTTCGAGAAGGTCAGGGGCGTGGGTGAACAGCACGGTTTGACTGGTCGAGGGTAGGAGGGAGAGTAGGGACGCAGGGCGGGATGGGTAGGAGTGAGGGATGGGGGTAGGAGTGAGGGATGGGGGTAGGAGTGAGGGATGGGGGTAGGAGTGAGGGAGGGTAGGAGGGAGAGATGGAGTAGTCCGGTAGGTCAATAAACCTTTGATCACATCCCTCCTACACATATTGATATTTCTGCTTGACTGACGGGAGGAGTTGGCCCATGTACAGGGGTGACAACTCTTGCCAGGCGATGGATGGGTGGGTGGGGGAGGGGGTGTGTGGGGTGAGGGTATATGGGGTGAGGGTATATGGGGGGGGGGTTGTATGGGGGTGAGTTATGGGAGTTGATATGGGACGTGATAGAATGGTTTTATACCCACCTTCGTCATCACCATCACCACCTACACACCACTACCACCATCACCACCACTTACACCACCACCACTACCACCTACAACCATAGAGAGAGTGAGAAACTTGGAAGTGTAGTCAACTGTTCTGGTCTCTCCTCAGCTAGGGAGAGACGACAGCTCCAGCGTTCCTTATTAAATATATTATAATGGTCCAATGTTGTATTCAAACTTAATATACCAGAATAATTCACTCCAATACTGCCGGGAGGTGAGAGAGAGAGAGAGGTAAAGGGGGAGTGAGGGAGAGAAGGAGCAGCCTCATCTCCACCAGGAAACAATCTCGTTACTGCTGCAACACACAAAAACAAGACTCTTTTGCCCTCCAGCTACAGTAAACGTAGGATTAAATTGTATAGAGAGAGAGAGAGAGAGAGAGAGAGGCCCCCCTTAAGGTCCAACTGTCAGGGCTTTTATGCAGATAGCCTGGGTTAATTTCACAAGTTAATTATCATACATCAGCAACGTTGTCACAGCTGAGGAGTGTAAACAAAACCTGTAAATGAAAGCCTTGACATGACCCAGACAAGGAGGAAGAGGAGGAGGAGAACGAGGGAAGGATGGAAAGAAAACAAAATGAGAGAAGAAAGTGGAAGAATCTCCTCTCTCTCTCTCTCTCTCTCTGGGTAGATGGAGAGAGACAGGCAGAGAGAGAGGGAGAATGTGTGGCTGAACAATAAGCTTCATGTTGTAAATACAGTGGTGAGAGGGAGGAAGGAAGGGGGGGGGGCACGTATGAACTCTTGTCATGAGTGATGTGTCGCCGGCGGAGAGTTACACTGCTGGTGGGATTCTCGGGGATGTGTAGTGATGTGTGTTGCAGTTCTTGTGTTGTGTTGTGTGGGTGTTGTGAAGTGTTTTGTTAATGGTATGAAGAATATTGTGTTGCTTGTCAATGTTATGGATCTGGAGTGGGTGTTCTGTGAGGGTGGAGTGATGGGGTAGTGGGTGGAGTAAATGCGTCCGAGTTTCCGCCCGGCATGACGCCACGCTCGGGCGGGGGTGTTACTCATTTCGAGGAGTTTCCCCTCAAGAACAATATCAGTAATGGGTCTTTCCCTATAGAGGTGAAATTTTAATGTCTGACCTTCAGGGAGGCGATATTCTTGTCACCCCCTCCCTATACTGCTCCCCCTCCCCTCCTCCTCCCCACCTCCTCCCCTTCCCTATACTCTTCACCTACTCCCATCCCATACTCCTCTTCCCCTACCTCCATCCCCTAACACCCCCCCCACCCTCTACCCTTCCCTCACCCTCTGACGCTCCCCCTCTCCTTCCCTCCCCCCTCTTCATACCCCTCCTCCACGCATTCCTCCCACTTGGAGAAACAAGATGTTCAAATAACTTTTCAGGAGACTGTGTGTGTGTGTGTGTGTGTGTGTGTGTGTGTGTGTGTGTGTAGTGTGTGTGTGTGTGACACACACATTTGACACCTCCACTAAAATCGACCCAATTTTCCTTGTCAAGATAAACTTGCTTGGGAGATTTAAATCAACGAGGCCACGGATTTGACCTTTGGGGAAGTGTTAGATGGGGGAGGGTGTTAGGTGGGGGAAGGGGTGTTAGATGGGGAAGGGAAGGAAGGTGTTAGGTGGGGAAGGTGTTAGTGGGGGGAAGGGCTTGAGGGGGGAGGGTGTTAGGTGGGGGAAGGGTGTTAGGTGGGGAAGGGTGTTGGGGGGAAGGGTGTTAGGTGTGGGGGAAGGGTGTTAGGTGGGAGGAAGGGTTTTAGGTGGGGAAGGGTGTTAGATGGGGGGAAGGTGTTAGGTGGGGGAAGGGTGTTAGGTGGGGGGAGGGTGTTAGGTGGGGGGAAGGGTGTTAGGTAGGAGGGGGGATAAGTGTTAAGATTAATTGGCCGGATAAAGTGACAGAGTTTAGTTGTAAATGAGATTAGTTTGGCTGTTAATTGTTGCAATGGGGTGATATCTACCTGGTCTGACAACACAACGACCTGATATAGTGACTACTGACAACACGACGACCTGATATAGTGACTACTGACAACACGACGACCTTATACTGTATAGTGACCTCTGGCAACACGACCATCTGCCTTGAATCGTGAATGGTGATCGTTCAATAGTTCATCCAGCGTCCGTTCTAAGCCGACCACTGACCCAGATACTGCTGAGAGTCTCTTGAAAAGATGTTCTCGATTATGTGAGATACGTTAGGCAGAAGTGATGTTTCCTGGTGAATGTTGATTTGGTGTTCCCTGGTTAGTTTTGATTTTATGTTCCTTGGAGAGTTTTGATTTGATGTTCCCTGGTTAGTTTTGATTTGATGTTCCTTGGAGAGTTTTGATTTGATGTTCCCTGGTTAGTTTTGATTTGATGTTCCTTGGAGAGTTTTGATTTGATGTTCCCTGGTTAGTTTTGATTTGATGTTCCTTGGAGAGTTTTGATTTGATGTTCCCTGGTTAGTTTTGATTTGATGTTCCTTGGAGAGTTTTGATTTGATGTTCCTTGGTTAGTTTTGATTTGATGTTCCCTGGTTAGTTTTGATTTGATGTTCCTTGGAGAGTTTTGATTTGATGTTCCTTGGTTAGTTTTGATTTGATGTTCCTTGTTCCCAAACAAAACATAAACAAGTGAAAGGATGTAAATATTGTCTCTATTTTATTTCCCTCTCTCTCCTCCCTCCCTCCCTCCCTCCTCCCTCCCCCACAAATACATCACCATGATATTGATCAAAGATGTGTGTGTGTGCATGTGTGTGTGTGTGTGTGTGTGTGTGTGTGTGTGTGTGTGTGTGTGTGTGTTTTCTTGACAGACACATATATATCGACAATGTAATTTGGGGTGGTGCCGAAAGCAGATGGTGTGTGTGTGTGTGTGTGTGTGTGTGTGTGTGTGTGTGTGTCGCGGCCCCACGTTTTCCTTTCACTCTCTGTTTGTTTGTTTTTTTGTTTCGCGTTTGTTGTTGACGTTTATTTTCCCCCAATTTTATTTGTTATTAATTTTATTGTCCCTTTTTGGTCATATTCCATTATGTATTTTCTTTTTATATTAGTTTTCCTATATTTCCTTACCAATATTTTCGTATTTTTATGTAGTTTTAGTATTTTTTAAGCCTGTAATTTTTGTATTTTATGTAGTTTTAGTAATTTTTTAGGCCTGTAATTCAGTATTTTCTCTAGATAATACTGTAATCTGTTTACACCTGAATTCTGCTTTGTACCTCCTTTGACATTATCCCTACCTCCTTGACGTCATTCCTACTTCCTTGACATCATCCGTACCTCCTTGACGTCATTCCTACTTCCTTGACATCATTCATACCTCCTTGACATCATCCGTACCTCCTTGACATCATCCATACCTCCT